GACATTCCCTACTATTTCCAGTTTGTTGGTATTTTTATCATGAATTGATGTTGAATTTTGAGAAATGTCTTTTTTATATCAATTAATATGATTATATACTTTTTTTATTCTTTAAACTATTAATTTGAGGGATTTTATTAATTTAATTTCAAATATTGAATCAACCTTTTATTACAAGGACAAACCCCACATGGTGATCAAATATTTATTATTTTTATATTTTATTATATTTAACATTTTATTGAGGATTTTTGTGTCTGCATTCATGAAGGATATTAGATTAGTCTTAGTTTTCTTTCTGCCCCTCCTTTGTTGGTACATTATATGTGTGGTTTTGGTATCTGGTTAATAATAATCTCACAAAAGGAATTGAGAAATGTTTCCCTCTCTTTTCTTTCCTGGACATTTTATAAATATTTGATAGAATTGATCACTGAAACCATCTAGGTTCTATGGATTTCTTATTTAGAAGATTTTAAGTATGAATTCAATTTCTGTAATTTCTGTAATCAGGTTATCTACTTTATCTAGCATGAGTTTTGGTAAGTTGTGGTTTCAGTGGAAACTTTCCATTTTATCTAAGTTCTCAAATTTTATGTGCATAGAAATCTTCATAGTATCCCACTTATTATTCCTTTAATTTCCTGGGGGTCTGTAGTGATATCCCTTCTTTCCCTTCTGATATTGGTACTTTATTTCTTCTCTCTTTTTATTCATGTTATTCTGTCTAGAGTTTTATCAATTGTTTTGATTTTTTTTAAAGACAAACTTTTTGTTTTATTGATACTCTCTATTGTTTTTGTTTTTAATTTCATTTGTTTCATCCTTATCTTTATTTCATTTCTTCTGCTTGCTTTGGGTTAATTTGGTCTTTTCTTGTGGATTCTTAAGGTGGAAGTTTGAGTTCCTGATTTGAGACCATTCTTTTTTTTCTAATGTAATAATTAAACATTTCATCCTTTTTGATATGTTGTATTTTATTTTTGTACAGTTCATAATCTACATATATAAAAGCCTAAGCAACCATCCTACCGTTTGACTGTTAGCCTGGTAGCTATGACGCGCAGTGACCACCAGGGGGCAGATGCTCTGGCCAGTAGAGGAGGGAGCCCGATTCCTCATGGAATCGGCCATGGGTTAGGTTGCTGCTGGGGAACTTTCGGCCCTGAATCTGCTACACCTGCACCCTGGACCCAGAGAGGAGGGAGCCCGATTCCAGGGTGCGTCACCCGAGAACCGCCCTCTCACAATCTAAGACCCCTTGGGGATGTCGGAGAGCCGGTTTCAGCCCAATCCCCGCAGGCCAGGCTGATCCCTGCAGGCCAGGCCGAGGGACCTCACCAGTGTACAGCGTGCACCGGGCCTCTAGGATTATATAATATCCTTTGAGAATTCTTCTCTATGGATTTGCCTTTGTAGCCACTCATACAGTTTGTCATGTATTCCATATCTTTTGGTTCTTGGTTGTAATCAAGTGCTAAATTGAAATATAAATAATTACAAGAAGGCTTTGACAGCTTTATTTGTGGTTATGAATAATAATGTGACATTTGTTTACATTACTTTATTAAAGATAATAATAGCTATCATGTATTAAATGCATACTATGCCTAGCCACTAGGTTGATCACTTTATGTAACCATATCTCATTAAATTCTCCCAGCAACCATTTCAGCCAGGTACTATTATTAGACCTATTTTAATATTGAGGAAACTGATACACATATTTTAAGTGACTTGTTCAGAGTCACTAGGCCAGTAAGTGACTCTGTCTTACTATACCATGTGTCTTACTATGTACCATGTGTCTTACTATGTACCATGTACTTTTCTGAGTACTTGATTCATATTGACTCTTTATAATAATCTGGAGTTGGTACTATTATGTTTCCATTGTGCAGATGAGGAAACTCTCACAGGACCTTCTAGTGGCCCATTATCCATTTCTCATACCCAGTAGAAATGTGGGTGTCAGGCTGGAGGTGGGTATAAAGTGAAATCAAAAGCCTTGTCCTCTGATGTGGTCAGTTGCTTACCTGTTAGACTGTGCCCTGGGTCAGTAGGGGGCATTTGCACTGTGTAATTGGGACAGTTTTACCACAAAAGACACAAGGGGTTCTAGTGTCTTTCAGCATGACCCTCCCTGCCCAGAATTTTTTCCTATGTGTCTTGTAGTCTAACACTCTCACTCATTCTCTCTCTCTCTCTCTCTCTCTCTCTCTCTCTCTCTCTCTCCTCTCTCTCTCTCACACACACACACTGAACATGTGTAATGATCAAGTCATGGATTTGAAGCAGGGTACAGTGGCCAAAACATAAGTTTGAAACTTGAGGAAACCTGTGTATGATCTTGGGCAAGTCACTTAATTGCTTAGTAATTTGGTTATCTCAGCTATGCAATTGAAGAAGATAATTATAATAAAACCTGTGAGGATTAAATGAGATGATGCATTTGAATAATTAGCCCAGTGATTGGCATATTGAAATGTTCAATACATGTTAGGTATTTTTGTAATTATTGATATGCAAGATCTTTTTATGTGTTTTGTATAATTCTTTAGCATGTATGTAACTTGTGAAACTGAATTTTTAGGGCTCAGAACAAATCCTGTCTATATCTAGGAAATTTATCAGTTTTTTATTATTTTTTATT